GTAGCCGGCTCTGATTAGCTTCCGAACTAAGGATTCTTCCCCCGAATGATTCTCGCAAGTGCCCTCGTGAACTTCTCTCATGGCGTACTCGATATATCCCGATCCTAATCATTTGGCTAGTGGGCCGAAGAAGGATCTCCTGAACAATACCCCTTCGATTAAGCTAAATATGGCAGCGTTGATGCGCAGGGCTCTTAATTCCTTAGGATAGGCAATTTTCCTGTTTTTAGGTAGTCTATGTATTTATTTCTCCAATCTCAAGTCAAACTTGTCGATTTTACTTTAGTGTGACTTTCTTCTACCACCGAATCCATCAGTTGTACCACTGTCCCCGAGCCGAATTCATCGGAGTCGACAGACGACCCCATGTTGGCTAGTGCATCGACCTCACTATTTTGATCTCAAGGTACATGCTGCAGATTCCATTCCTTGAATTGGTGCAGAGTAACCTGCAATTTGTCTAAGTACCTCTGCATCTGTTCTTCTTTCACTTTGAACGTTCCGTTGACTTGATTTATGACGAGGAGGCAGTCACATTTGGCTTCAATCACTTCGGCCCTGAGGCTCTTAGCCAGTTCTAGACCTACAATCATGTCCTCATACTTGGATTCATTGTTAGTCAATTATACAGTTTTAATAGACTACCTAATTACACTACCCATAGGTGGTTTTAACACGATACCGAGTCCGGTCCCCTTCGCATTGGAGGCACCATCCGTGAAGGGTCCATATTTCCAAATTAGCCCCCGAGGTGAGTACTAATTCCTCTCATAATTCGGGTGTTAAGGCCGGTGTAAAGTCACCACGAAGTCTGCCAAAAGCTGAGATTTTATGGCATTTTAAGGGCGGTACTCGGTATCGTACCCGCTAATTTCCATGGCCCATTTGGCCAACCGGCCTGAGAGCTCGGGCTTATGCATGATATTACTCAGCAGGTAAGAGGTTACGACACATATGGGGTGGCATTGAAAGTACGATTTTAGCTTCCTGGAAGCGCTTAGCAGGGCGAGCGCTAACTTTTGACTCCCCCTGGTGTGGGACATTTTAGCTTCTAGTGCAAGGTCGAAGGTACCACCCTTATGTTATGGACCCATGGCCTTCCGAACAGAGCGTTGTACCTCATGTCCTCTTTGATCACGTAGAACTTTGTTTCTTGGATTGTCCCGATAGTTTTACCGGTAAATTTATCTCTTATTTCGTGTTCTTGCACGCCATGTTGAATCCGTTCAATACCCGGACTACTGGTACGATTTGATCCTGTAACCCCAATTGCTCTACGGCCATTGATCTGATGATATTAGACGAGCTACCTGGATCAATCAGCACAAGTTTAACTCGAGATTTATTGATCAGTACAGATATTACCAGCGCATCGTTATGAGGTTGTACAATGCCCTCATCGTCTTCGTTGCTAAATGCAATGAATCCCTCTGGAATGTAATCCCGGGTGCGTTTTTCCCTCGTAATGGATACTTTAGTGAGCTTTATCATCGGTCTTTGGGAGACTTCGAACCCCCTCCTCCCAATGATCATTTTGATCATGTGTGAGGTTTTTCTTGTTGCCTGTTTGTGGGCGTCCCTATTTCTGAAGTGATTTTTGGCTCGTTCACTTAGGAACTCTCGGAGGTGCCCATTGTTGAACAGTCAAGCAACTTCTTCTCTTAGCTGTCGGCAATCTTCGATCCTATGACCATGAGTGCCATGATATTTACACATCAAGTTAGGATCTCTTTGGGTTGGGTCGGATTGGAATGGTCGAAGCCACTTGGTCTCTTTGATGTGCCCTATGGTCGACATGATGCTTGCAATGTCTACGTTGAAGTTGTATTCCGATAATCTTGGTGCCTCCATGCTCCCGAACGACCTTGCGAAACTATTCTTACTCATCAAGCCTTAGCCACTAGGCACTCGATCACTTTTCTTCTCGTTACTTGCGGGGCGACGCCCGAATCCATTTCCCCTTCGGTTGATACCAGTCTCGGGCCAGTCTTGGCTCTTGATCAATGGCTCTCTTAGATCTATCAACGGTCTTGATTGGGTAAACATATACAGACGAGGCCCCGAGTTGGTCGTCCTCAACCCTGATATTTGGCAGGTACCTATTGTGGACGTCGACCCTGGTTACCGCCGGGTACTCCACAACATTGCTGTTGAGAGGCCAAGGAGCTTCGGGGCTTGATCCCCTAAGTGAATGCTTGAACGGCCCAATCATCTACAACCGGTGGTAGGTCCATCTGTTCCATCTAGAATCTTGACACAAACTCCCTCAACATCTCGTTATCCCTTTGTTTGACCTTGAAAACATCTGACTTTCTGGTCTCGACCTTGATGGCCGCAGTATGGGCCTTTACGAAAGCATCTATAAGCATAGAAAACGAGTCAATAGAATTCGGGGGCAGGTTGTGATACCATATCATTGCTCCCTTGGACAAAGTTTCCCTAAACCTTTTCAGCAACACCGACTCGATCTCATCGTCTTCCTAATTGTTCCTGTTGATTACGCATGTATAGGAGGTCACATGCTCATTTGGATATGAGGTCCCATTATATTTGGGGATGTTGAGCATACGAAACCTCTTTGGGATCGGCTTTAGTGCTGCGCTCGGAGGAAAAGGCTTCTAGATAAATTTTTTGGAGTTTGGTCCCTTCAATATCGGGGGTGCTCCGGGGATTTGATCAACCCTGAAGTTGTATGTTTCTTCCTTGTTATCATTAGCCTCAATCTTTTTATCGTCTGACTCCACCCATTTTGTCAATGCTTCGAGCATCTTCATTCCCTCGGAATTTACCCCGGGCTCGGCTTCACCCGGTCTCTCAGTAATTTTTTCCGTCTCTTCAAGTGCTTTCCCGCAATTGCTCGGGCTCGACCCTGTTGGGGGCGTGGCTTCGATTATGCAACTGTGCTATTGCTTCTTGTTGAGCCTGCAACATTTTGAAAATCAGCCTTAGGCTCACCCCATTACCTTCACCTTCGGAAGCTTCTCGAGTTGTTGGTCGGAGTCCCCCGCGAACACTGTTTTCGGGATCAATTAACAAATTAATGTTGATGGCCACCTGCGAGTTAGCATCGACCAGGGCGGCGCCTGGGACATCGTTGGGATCAGCGAGAAGCACATCATTACTGGGCACCACATTATTATTTTCATCGTGATGGCCTGACTCAGCGTCGACATTCAGCAAACTGAGAGTTTGACATTTTTAGGTTGACCCAAAATTAAGATTTCAAAGAATAAGCGTAAAATAGGGTGTGTTATGGAGATTCGTATCAAATCATCACTATTATCCTTATCCCCACGAGGGGCGCCAAACTATTTATCCTAAAATTAGGCAACAATTAAATTTGTACGTGGTTTAATTTAACACAAATAATTAAGAATAATAGATAAATGAATTAAAGGTGAAATAAACGATCAAACCACTCGCAACGTTAAAACCAAGACTAATCTTAGATTGAATAGTGAGTTCGTCCTCGATTGGACCCTCGGTTCAAGTCTAGTCGCAAATAAAGAACAGAACAAATGAATAATACCTTTAACAATAACTGAAGAACAAAAGTAAACTTTTATTGCTTTGAATTGCGTATTACAATATGTCAGACTAAAGAAAAACTTCCTCTTTATATAGTAGGAGAGTTTCAGTCCTAGTATAAGCCTAAAAAAGGTAATAATCTTCTTTTCCCAGTAATTATTGATCCATAATCAATGTCGAGCGAGATTCATGCTGTGATATTCGGTTGAGGGCGAGTATTACGGCCCTCTATCCGTCTTGCATAACCATTCACCATGTCTCCCGAGATCTAGAACTTATACTCGGTCCGTGGCGCATCGCTTTGCCATGTCCAATATCGGATATATCATTCGCTCTCCATGAGTCTCGATATGAGAGGTCTCTGACCTCAATTACAATCTTGCGGATTCGTGCTCCCCCTTCGTTCTCTCATTGGGGAGTCGGGGTAGACATTGCCCCCGATTTTACCCGTATACAATTGTGAGATGTAGTCGGTTATGTAAAATATATTAAAAAATAATAAGTTAAAATACCAATGAGGTCTATCGGTGGCTCTCCGAAATGTGTGTTGCACATCCTTTAACTATACTAATGACTAAGGGTGAGTGTTGAGCCAGTTCTGATTGGATAAGAAAATTTTGCTTTGGATTTTCAATTTTCGATTGAAGAAATGACAATCCAAATCCAATCCAAAATAAGCTTGGATTGGATTGGATTTTTTAAGAAATGATTAATCAGTTTGAATATTTCGGATTTTCGATTTTAAGCCTATAAATTGAGATGCTGCTTCTTCTTCTAATTCTTTACAAAAATGAAAATCCAAATGAAGTAGTATTCATGTTAAATTGCCATAGTAGTTCCTCATTATCGCTGCAATTATCCAAGCAAAGTATTCATGCTAGTACTTACACCATTATCAAGGAAATGCAATAGAGATATTAATAAGCGTGATAAGAATTAACAATAGTAAAATTATGTCAAAATAGAAAGTATTATGAAAGTTACTTAACATTAATATTAACATATGAGCTAATGTCTCATTGATAGGGTATTGAACATATTAGTATTGTGCATATAAATAATAGACTAATGTCTAATGGATAGTACCGTAAAAGGTATAAAAACTTGGGATCTTTACACAAATAGCCGATCATATTCATTGTTTTTTTTTTGCTAGTCATATATATAAATTACATTAATTATACACATATAATACATAAATTATGCACATATTATACCTCCACCGGCTATTTCTTGTTTAAGTGGTTGGGTGAGCAGCTATTTAGGTTAACTCTTCTAAAAAATTTGGATTTCTAGATATCCAAAAGTCCGAAGTACCAAATTTAACATCCAATCCCAAATCCAATTTTTTAAAAAATTAAATCCAAAAAATTTGGATTTCGGTTTGGGATCCTTACCGAACTAAATGAGATTCTCTGAGAAAGTGTAGTAGCACTTAAAAAGAATTTACGCGACTAAGATAGAAAGGGATGTGAGTAGCAAAATGAGGCATTTATTTCCGAACTCCAAATAATTATAAAACAGAATTGCCATCTCCATTGCACCCTAGTTACATAGTTCACAGTTCCCCACATCATGGATGTCAGAACAATTCTGCAAACCGAAGAACTTTCTCTATTCAATAAGTAAATGACAAACTAGTGACCATCCTGCACCTGTGCTAACAGAAACGAAAAGCTATCATATTAACATAAAAAAGTTTAAAAGGTTGCATCACCACTGATGTCAAGAGAGTTTAAGAAGATCATAGAGCATTTATCATCCTCTTCATCTCAGCAGACCTCCTTGGATCTTGTTCATCAATTGCTCTCTCAGTAAGCACGTGCTTGATTCGGCACATTGACTTCCTAACCTGAATGTCATTCTCACAAAGATGATAATGAGAAAGTGTGCTCTGTATCAGCAAAATGTTAACAGCTCAGTGATTCAAATCAGTAAGAGAATTAAAAGTGAAGCAACATGGGAAGAGAGAATTGGCACGTCCTAGAATGATTTTAACCAAGAATATTTAGATATCAAGACGCACATTCCACCAACTAGAATTTAAGATTCCAGAATCCAATATAAGTTAGACGAACCTCAGATGAAGAGAATGTTCTGTCAAAATCTGATAGCAAAGCCAATAGCATCATCATGATATAAAGTGGTGGCTGAGAAGGCAGAAGACAGCAGCTAATTAGTTCTAACAAATTTCTGGGACTAAGATGGTTGTTCTTGTTTCAGTTTTTGTCAACCACTTACAAAGCCACTATTCAACTAAATATTAAGCACTTGGTGTACTGGTTTATATGGTTTCAAGCCACCGATGTATTCAACAGACGAGATTGGAAAAGGTCTACTCCCAGAAATAACAATAGAGCCCAGCAGAGAATATGTGCATATGCAGTTTCAAGAACCCCAGGTTGTCACTAGATTTTGGCATTTTCGGGAAGTACTTCTCCTAAATGCTTACAGTGGATACAATCTGCAGCTAGAAGACTTNGGGAAGGGGGTATACCCCCTGGTACCAGATTCAAGGAATTAGTGGTAGAGCACCTCATTCACACGCGCACCTATTTTTCTCAAGGGAGTTTATCATACAATCAAAGAATTGATCTTGTTGAGGAATCGATGTCTTACTCCATAACTTTGAGGGATAGTCAATCCCAAGCGCGGATAAAGCATGAAGTTATGCTAAGTTGACAACAATCGTAAAAACAGCCTAGAGGCATAGTTGACTGATTGAAAGTCAACTAATTTGAAGTAAAGGAATAATTACTAACACGGCCTTACAGCAGGAGGTATATATAGAAAGGGATGAAGTAGGAGGTCCACAAACAACCATCAGTAAGCCTAATCAGTTGACCAAATAACGGATTTTGATATAGTAAGATATAAAACCTCTGGAACGCAACTAAATTGCTCCTTCAAAAAATAACCCTAATCCCCATAATGATTATAACTGCCATTAAAGCATGATACCTTATTTCAGAAGTTAAGATGCTAAGCTAGCTTACCAATAGATTGACTTACAGTATAATGCCAAAAATATAGTTGCATATAACAAGAAATTAGTAATCAAAAGCTGAAATTTACTTGAGTGCATACATACTGTGGATGATTAATAAAGAGGATAAACCCATTTTGATTGAAAAGTTTGAGAATTCCAACTTTCCATTTTAATATTTAATATTGAGTGGTTTAAAGCATGTAGTGAAATATGTCATTTGGTTTAGTTCTATCAACTATCCTCTTCCTTTAGTCATGCAAAGTATAGATGTATTTATGAACTTCTAATCATCCATTTCTGCAGTTGTAGCATTCATATTCAGAAATATTTTTTATTTTGTCAAAGCAAGAACAAGCCTCAAATCATCCCAACCACATTAAAAAAAAAAAAAAAAAAAAAAAAAAAAAGCAACCATAGTTTGCGCCAGGGACTCATTTTGTTGTTTTACCACAAGTAATACAGTCAACCATTCCTTAGTGCAGAAAATGTATACTCATGTATCTTCACCTAAAGCAGTATTTTCGGTTTTATTGCTAACCATAACTTGCATTTTTTCCTTGTCCCTCTAGGAACAAATGGGATACAGAGAGAGGCTTCTTCGTCCCTAATACTTAGTACTTGTTCTGAGGGCATTCTTTACTCTCCTAATCTGTGAAGATTCAAGCCGCCGATGTATTTAACAGACGAGATTGGAAAAGATCTACTCCCTTGAAATAACAATAGAGCGCAGCAGAGAATATGTGCATACGCAGTTTCAAGAACACCAGGTTGTCACTAGATTTTGGCATTTTCAGCAAGTACTTCTCCTAAATGCTTACAGTGGATACAATCTGCAGCTAGAAGACTTGTGGCAATGCTGTAGACAGTGGAGCTAAGAGAACTGCCAAGTAGTTGTGCCCAGAGTGAAGACATACCATCTCTAGCACATAGTATATTCTGGAATCAAGAAAGACAACAATCCTCATACTAAGTTCTACTTGACTATTGAAGCAATGCCAACCCATATGTGAAGACACAGAAGGCGAGACTAAAAAAAGAAGTCATGTGTTTACAACTACAACCAACTTAAGGGACACTAAACAGTAGGTTAGCTTGGAGGCCAGCTATTTTCTACTTTGTGGATAGCACTAATAGAGATTTTTTTATGTACATGGCTCATTCATTTTCCTAGATGTACACGCATAGAATGAGTATGGCATGGGTATATCTACCTTGTGAATATTCTTCCAAATAAAAAAGTAAATAGAATAACAAATACCATAACAGAGTCCATGTACACA